ATATAAAATTAGAAAATTCTCTCTTTCAAGCATCTGTTAAAATGCAGGTAAAAGCTTGTTCTTGGAAGATGCTGTTTTTGGTTTTCCTTTTCTAAATTATACATATAACATATCAGACAGCCTGGTTAGATGGAAACCTGGAATTCATTTGATTCATCTAGTCTTTTATCAAATTCTCCATGCTGAACTAACAGATCTTCTCGTTCAATCTTGAGAGAAATGAGTTCCTTCTGAAGCATGTCCACTTTATCATGAGCATGCTGAAGCTCCAAAGTTACTATTCCTAAAGCCTGATGGAAAAGAGAAAATTTTAACTATGCATGCCACATATATTAAACAGTGATTTAGACTTTTTTAGAGCACATGAACAATTTTTGTGGAATTCATTTGGAAACTAGACTTAATTCAACTATTAAAGAAAGATGAAAATTGATTTATAGGAAATATTAAGTGAAATAATACATTCCAACTTCAATAAAAATTAAAAGAAGTTTTGGATGCATTTTCAATTTTACTTAGAATCTCTAGGATGTTAATTCTTTTAGTTATTTTGGATGAGATTTTGGTTATTTTCTTGTCAAATTAAATGTGGATTTTCAGAAAAATTTCGACAAATTGAAGTTGATTTATTACAAGCATAATATGACTGTAGGATTGGAACAAAAAGCGGAAGATTTTTTTTTAAGACAAAGATATATTACTTACTTCCTGAGATTGTTTGTTCTCTGCATCAACCAATTTTAGATTATTCTTTACTCGATCAATTTCCAGAGACTTCTCCTCACTACAAATCAAAGATATTTCTTTTGTCAGACAATTGTGCTATATACATTTCAAACAAATGCCAAAACTCCAGCAACACCTTGAATGCACGTAATAGTTTCAGTGACATCTAATTTCATTTTCAAGTGTGAGATGATCTCATAAATATGATCGAGATATGATTCTTCCACTCTGCACTTATTGTCTTCTTATATGCTAAGTAGGCAGGATAAATTTCAAAAGCAAGGAACAAGATGCCTTACATAAGAAGTGCAGATGGAAGGAAGAAAAAAGAAACAAACCTCCACTTGTTCTCCTTCCTTGCATCCTCCTCACAATGTGCCAGTCTTTCCCTTAAGACCTCACATTCCTCTCGACAAGATTGTAACTCATTCTTCACCTAAAATTTTAACACACGTTAACCATCAACTTCATGTGCATACTGAGTTGAGTTCTCTAAGCACATTAGGGATAGGAACAGATTTAGACAACTACAGTGAACATAAGAGCAAATAAAAATGATCCATGAAACCACTGAAACAATTCAAAATTACGAAGGTTGTTTCTCTTGTTCTAAGACAAAAACATGCTTAATAATAGTAGGTTTCAGAATGTAATTGACCATGCAATTTTAAACATATAGCAAAATAGAAACAGCAGAAAAAATAAAAAACTTCGGACGAGCATTAAAAAGTCTACTAAACCCTTGTATGGCAATAAATTTATCGCTCTAACACCAAATATTTCACATGAATTTTTATAGCATGTCAATGGAGAAACACAAAATACTGTAGAATCATCAACTTACAATCTCATTGTTTATATTACATGTAGCTACAGCATGTATGGGTGATATAAGTGGACTGAATCACATCAGGTTTTGAGGTAAAATTGTTAAATTAATATTATATGGAAAGAAAAGACATGGAAACTAAAGGCCGAACCTTTTCTATGCAAAAAGAACAGTAAAAAATTCCATTTTAAGACAGAATAAGTTGCTTATTGGAAGTAAAAGTTCCAGCAACGTGTCTCGAATTTGGACCAAAAAATGTCCATCAGGTAGAAAAATTTAAAAAGCCCCAAAAAAGTCATTAATAATCTATCATAAAACCAAAGGTTCAGAGAATGGATCCAAATATCTCTAACTATACAAGAAGGGGATTCAATGTCCTCAAAGGATCTCCAATTTGTCTCTCCATAAAGCATCAGAAGATATAAATTCAATCAAAATAATACATTAAAACTTTTTCTTTAAAAGTGCCTAGTGACAAACTAATTCAACAACCATTCTTTTACTTCATTTTAAATCTAAATATTTCTAAATGCTAAAACTTGTAGGAGGAGATTGCTAACTGGCTTTGTTGGTGGTATGAAAGATGTAAGACGCTTGCAGAAAACTTGTTAGACACTCGCAGAAAACTTGTAAGACACTTGCAGAAAACTTCTCACGCATCATATCCCATATATAAGTACTTTCTTTCCAAAAGAAAAAAAATATCCCACATATAAGTCCAACCTAATATACAGTTAAAACATCTAATTGTACAACTGTAGAAGATAAACTTCACATTTTCTGTTGAGTATTCTTAATATTACACAACCATGGATATCAATGTCATAATATCTCATAGATGAAAACTTGAAAAATAATTAACAAAAATTAGTAAAAAGAAAAAGACCAGCAAGTAAAAGGTGATTTCTGGTGGAGAAAATAAAGCTGTAACAACAGTATGGCCCCCAAAGTGCTTCAAAGACTAAACAGCAAATTCTTCGATATCTGTCTTAACCACAACTTTCTTACCTCTGAAATTCCTTCTAACAGTGATTTAATCTCTGAATGATAGAACTCGGCTTTCTCGTCAAAGGCTTTAACGGAGGCTTTCTCCTTACAACACCATATTGCCTTCGCCTCTTCTATTTCGAGAAGAGAATTTGTGAGTTGCTACAAAATCAGTATAGGGCCAAATCACTAATACAATATTGTTGAGAAAGATACAAGGAAGAGAATGTCAAGAAAGAGCTCTGTTCGTATTCAAACTAAGCAAGATACCCTTGCTAACTCTTCCTTTTCTTCCAGCAACACCTTGATAGAGCTTTCCATTTTTTTCTGATCAGAAGAAGATTCTTCCAACCTACATCTCTGGATTGAGGAAAGTCAGATGCTTCAATGAAAGAAAAGAACGTAGAAAAAAAAAGGAAAAAATGTACATGCTAGGTCATAGAAACTTATCATGGCAATAAAGTTTTGTGAAAAAATATGGGAAACAAGAGGATAAAGAGCATACAAGGCCTGAAACTTCTTCTTGCAATACAGTAAGTTCTGAGCTTGAAAGGTCCAAATTTTTAGAGATGGATTCCAATTCCGAAGCTAAATCCACATTTCTAGATATAGCCTCTTCTTTTTCTTGGAGTGCCATAGCTAATTTCTCTTCCAGAGAAGCAATAGTTGTCTCCATCTCAAATGCAAGAACTTCGAGCTTTTCATAATCTTCCTAACAACAGAGAAAGAAGATACGTGGAAATTAGGAAAAAGAAATTGAATCTCATAATTCAAGGCATCTTCAGTTTGCAAGATTTGATTCTCAAGTTGTTGAATTTATAAAAAAAATGAAATAGAAAAACAAAGGCAAACCAAAGAGAAGGTGTGGGAAACAGGAAATAGAATTCAATTATCTTTTTTGAAATAGAAAATGTGTAGTATGACATAGAATTCAATTAAGGTTTGCAAGAAGCAAAGCAGGAATTAACACCCATAATAAATGACAGCAATTCTGCCATAACTTTTTACCGGGAATGCTAAAGTTCCTAGCCTTACAAATCCACATCCAAGCAACTATATATTACTTTTGGAAACTCTTCTCTGATTATTGATTATTGAAAGAATACCAATCAGCGGGATGTTATGCTCTGTTAGCCTGTATGGTTCTTACATTATGTTGTTCAAAGGCTGCTTTGCCAAAATTTTCCTATTTTCTGTTACACCATCATTTTCCTTTAAGTTAAACTAGGTTACTGCTGTGCCATCTTCAAATTTCTTAAATCTTTATTTACTACTATGTTGTAAACAACTAACAAGATTCCAGAAGAAGTTATGCGTAAGTTTCCAGAATTGATTTATGGCAGTAAGCTGTGATTGTGTAAATTAAAGAGTTCTGTTTTGTTTTCTCACAAAGTTTTATACTGATGTAGCAAACTTTTATTCATACTTGCTACAGTTTGCAAATTGGAAACTGTTGGGCCAGGTGTCCTGGTGCTAGTCTAGAGCTCTTCTTCTTGTGTTCACATAGTGAATGCAGGAGCAGATGTGAAACAGATACTAAATGACTTCACTCACCTGCATTTTCTGTTCTGAAAGAGCAAAAGAACTCTTTGCCCTTTTGCGATCAAACACCTTTGAACTTCTCTCAACAGTAGAATCACGCCTTTTACTAGCAATTGAATCTTGTTTGCTGATCCCACGCTCCAGAAGGGTTTTCTGACCATGCAATCGTTTTATCTCTCGCTCAGCAAATGCTTTTTCACCCTGTAAAAATGGAATTATGCTCATAACAATATTTCTAAAAGTCAAATAACTCAACATTTTTCAATATATATTTTTATGAAACCTCAAGTTTGGTTTTCTCCTGGATTGCATTTTTAAGCTTGAATTCAGTCTCCTTCAACTTTGTTTTTGTTTTCTCAAGGTCCTTTCTCAGGGTTTCCTTTTCCTTGGCCAAAGAACAAGACGATAGACCTGATATTTCTGTTTCTAGACATTGAATATAATCAAGAAATTCTGATTTTTCTAGATCCCTTTGTTCTGAGAAGGTCTGCAATAATGTTAAACAGGTAAAAAAATTTACCAAAATAAACTGCATCTACTATAACTCGAAAGAGGAGGAAAAAAGAAAAACTACCATCAATGATGTTTCATGATTTTGGGCTTCCAACCTTAGTTCTTCTATCTGGTTCTGCAGATTGACAGATTGATTTTGCAGAAGAAGCTGCACCATGCACATTATCATTTTGGATGTATATGCACAAAGAGGCATAGAGAGAGAGGCAGAGACAAGGAAGCTGTACCTTCTGATTCTCAAGTTCAGAAAGTTCCTGTTTCATGGAAAAGTGTAACTTCTCATGGTTGCAGATAATTGATTTCCATTGCACAGAATTCTGATCCATGGAAGACTCAAACTCCTGATTAAAAAAACAATTAAATTAGAGAAAAGGTGAAAATATGGATTCTGTAATGACAGTGCAATGCAGAGTGAAACTAGTAAAAAATCAGCACTTGGCAGAGTAGTTTCTGAAACGTAGCTTCAAAGATAGACCAGTAAGGAAGATTAATTTGATCTAACTCGGGTACAAAAGGTTGGAGGTGGAAAAACAACTAAAATAATTAACAAAATACACTATGTTATGGAAAATATGATGACAAATTGCAAAAAGTGAAAGACAAGGTTTCATGAAGTTGACCCGATTGACTCAAGCTTAAGGCTTAGCTGAGTTAGGTTGAGTTCTACCAGTTGCTTAATGCATGTTGGAAACTATGATCTTGAAACATGAACCAGCTAAATCTAAGAAAAGTTCTTGAAGGTTGTTAAAGGAGTACTCACAAGGAACAGATCAGAAAAGGAAGAAAAACCTTGAAGAACCTCATCCAAAAGTGATGAAGCACTCTCAACAACTACTTTCATATTTTGAACTTCAGTCATTACTTCTTCTACTTCATCTGAAAGCTGGACCACATACTGGAAATTCTCCTACAAAATAAAGAATCAGATATCAGTATCATAATTACAGATAAAAGCAACTTAAAACGAGCTTCAGGAAAAGTGTTTGATGAATCATTGAGGAAAGATAGACACTCATGCAGAAGATAAATACATCAATTCCTCCCAGACATTCGTTGGATGCAAGTTGTTCATTAGCTACCTTTGCCTCCTCCCGTGCACTTAGAAGCTCCTTATGAAGCTGTCAGATTTGATAAATTTTGGAAAAATTTAGAAAGCATAAACTGCATATAATAGAAAACAAAAAAAAAACATTAAACATCCATTTTAAAGAAAATGGGTAAAAGACATCAGTTATAACAAATCTGCAGCTAGATTGGTTATCGATCTGAGCCCTCCAAAATGAATCCTGACTTCATTGCCACAGACAAACTCATTAAGTAAACCATGATTACAACCACAAACAAATCCACTTGGTAAAGAGAGTGGTTTGCTTGCTTTTGTGTATTGAAGGTTTTTCCTTTTTTTTAAATTTTCTTTCCTACTTTTTTCTAATTTTTATTGCTTTCCTGTCTCCCTTCAAAAATGTTTCTTCCTTTCTTAAAAACACCAGAAAAAAATTTGAGTATATATCAATAGTAGAAATTTGCTGACTTTTAAATTTTTAATTTTTAATTTTCATTTTCTTCTCCTTACATTTTTTTTAAAAAATAATAGTTGAGTTGGTAAGATTGAAAAAGGGCTTTAGTGACGAAAAAGAAGATAGAAGATGGTTTCAGTTCCAGAAACACACTTAGTTTAACTTTATATTTGCTAAGAACTAAAAATAAAACCATTTAAACTAACATAAGATAAATTAAATTCTTAGATATGAAAACTTAGCAGAAAATATTGTTGCATGCAATAAGGAAGAATAATGCACGAAGGAACGAGGATACTGAATCTATCTAGATTGAAGGAGATTTTGGATTTGCGGGGTGGGGGGTTGTTGTAAAGCTCCACTCCAAATGTGAAAATATTCCAAAAATAGGAACTCTTCCTAACACGAGAAAACTTCACACAACAAAAGGGGCTACTGATGCGGAACCCAAGATTAATCAACGTGATCAGAAACTCACACAATTTTATTTAAAAACATCAAAAAAATTGATTTTATAGAAACTCTTCCTATTTAACCCACTATCAAGAATGATAAAAACTAAGGTCATTGAAAATGAAAGAAATAGAATGGAAAAACGTCACAAGGTCATATCTTAATAAGTAGATCCACTCCTTACTCAACAAGATGGTAGAAGAACCTTTCTTGAAAAGAAATACTCTTAATATTATTGAAATAATTTCTAAATGTCTTATAATGAAGATTTAGTGACTTATTTATAAGCCAAGTCAAGTAAATAAAAAGGAAAATAAAATCTTTTAATTTTATTTGCAATTACATAGAAAATAAATTAAAAATTAAAAATTAATTTCCTAAATAAGAGAGATTTAATCTTCCTTTTTAATTAAAAGAGATTGTAATCAAATTAAGAGGGAAGACATATCGAAATAAATTAAAAATTAAAAACTAATTTTCTAACTAAAATAAATTTAATCTTCCATTTAATTAAAAGAGATTGTGGTCAAATTAATGGGGAGACATATGGAAATTTAGGGTCAGCTGTAAGATCTCTGTTTTAGCCTATTTCATCCTCTTTCTTTGGATTGAGCATTTTCTTTCTGATCCATGTCCATGTTCACATCATCCTCTCCCCCTTCAAAAATGATTCGTCCTCGAATCGGATACTTTTTATACAGGAGTTTTACCAATCATGTTTTCTTTGAAAAAATGTTATGCAAAACAACACTATTTAATAAAGAAGGTTTGAGGTAAGTTAATAATTTTTTCTTGAAAAATAGTCTCCTTAGCTCTTGTTCTATATAGTAACATTTTCTTTTCATGTTCCTCAATCCTTTATTTCCTCCGGACTTTATTAAGTTTTTGAGTTGCTGCTAATCTTTGAATACCTCCTCAAGTAATAACGGTGCAAGTGTAAAATTCTGATAACTTATACTAAATGTGTAACGCCCCTTTTTTTTTTTTTTTCCAACGGCGTACGATCAACAATCCTATGACCCAACACACCAATTTCATACTAATAGCATTCCCCATAAACAAAACTTGTCCACAGTTCATTGTTCTAACTCAAGGTAAACTTGTAGTTCTACCTATACATCAATGACACCCCATACCATACCCTTCCAGCAAGTCAACATCCATACTAATATAAACTTTTACAGACGGTAACCCGCTACAAGGAGACCCTGGCCCTATGGTGCTAAAGATTAAGCTCCGTACCCAGCAACTCAGATCCCGACTCCATCATTACTTCATCTGGAAAACAACAAAAAGTGAGTTCACATATTTTAATACG